AAAAAAAAACGGAAGAAGTGTGTTGGATAGAGTAGTTTGACTGTGATAATTTGTTGTGCGAGTTAATGTATTAGGTAAATTACAATTCAATTATTTACTATTAGCCCGATAGTGGTGATGTTATTAACAAGAAGAAAAGAAGATTGAACATGACATACTTGGAAGTAAGCTGTTTGAAAATTTGGAAATAGCTTGTACGAGTACGACTAACGTGCTTGATTATATATTCTAAGCCTACACATAGAGGTGGCCATGGGCCGCTCGACCCGATCAAGCCGTCGACCACGAGTTTGGGCTTGGACCGGATTTTAATTGTTAATTCTAGTATTATTTGTGAATTAGTTTTCAAAATTATATGTCTAAATACTGTCCTAGTTTTTATTTTTTATTTTTATTTTTCTTATCATGAACTTTAATTGAAAACTGTAGGGCAAAATATTATCTACTTGTTTGGAAAAAAAAAATTGTTTCATATTTTCTTGTAAACACTTATGTACCAATAAATTTGTTTAAACATGCAAATATAGTTAAAAATAGACGACATCAAATACATTTTTCACAATAAATCTGAAAATTTTGAAATTAGTCATTTACATTATTATCTCAAATCAAATATTTACAGTATTTTACTTTTTACATATAAAATCATCATGATGTTTAAAAATGTTGTGTTTATCCGTTCTCATTAGGAAAATTAATTAATGATAAAAATTATATTAATTAAGAGTTAAATTATGGTAAATGATAATTTTTCACAATGAAAATTGTGATATAAGCTTATATACGCCAAAAAAAAAAAAAATTATGATGTTGAAAAACATAATACGATATGCAAAATATCTCTGCTATGTAGTAATCCATGTTAGTATCGAGTTATTGTGACAATTGTATAATTAGTCAATTAATTTAAGTTATTAAAAATTATAATGTTTATTTTTTTATAAATATGATTAAAGTAAAAAATTAACATAATTTATTTTGCCTCAATATAATCTTAATATGTTGTCATTTGGTATAAACATCTACGACATGAATCATATTTTTTTTTTTTTCATAAATTTAAATATATTTAAGGAAAATAAGAAAATTATTTTGGATCAATCGGGTGATTTAATTAGGTTACTGCCTAAGTTGATAGGAATTACATTTAGGTGAAATTCAAAATAGTAAAACAAAAAAACACGACACAACTTAGGTTGGTCCTGGGTGACTAAGTCATGGGTCGGTTTGGCCAGATCAAATTGATAACTGAAACTAAATATAATTTCTAAAATAAAAAATATTTTATTGCGATAAATATATTGTAGTTCATAATCCGAACAATCATATTAAGAATGCTTTTATGAAAACATATTCAATGATTCATGAACATTTATATATTATTCTATTAATATTTATGTGAACAAATAATGTTGCATTACAATATTATTAATGTACAGAAATTCCGAAGCTCTCAGAAGAGAGCCATCTTCAAACCGATTAAGTTATTTATTCAGTGATTTATTGGTTACTCCATAATTTAATATATTAATATTTTAATATATATAGTAATTTTTATAATATATAAAAATTATCAATTGAATATTTTAACAATGTAAAATTGTCCAACATTTAAACTAATTAATAAAAAAATTATAAACCTCTATTTTATTTAAATATATATTTTTATTATATTAAAAATAATTTTAATTATAACAAAATTTATGTAAAAAACAGTACTGGTCTTACCAGTCCGACGACCAACTGGTATTGACCAGTTCGTTAGAAAATATTTTATTTCAAGTGAATTGGGCTGGTTGCTAAATCGGTTCTTGGTCCATACGGTTAGACTGTTCGTTCAGGTCTTGATATGAAAACAATGGTAAATCATAACTAATGTTATTTATATATTTAATTATAATGAAATCATAATATTATTTTATCGTGCATCGCACTGGCCACGCACTAGTTTGTTCTACATTTTATTTCATTTCTGCAATAAAATGTTTAATAAATTAATTAATTTATTTCACCATGGCACACATTGTACACATTACTAGTTCATTTTACAAAAATTGGCCCATAGGGGTGGGCGCAGTTCGGGATTTGACTTGTCCCGGTACCGATCCTACTTTTATAAATTGATCTGGGAACGGTTCGGGATGAGGCACCGATCCAAATGGATCGGTATCATTTGGGACCGGAACAAACGGTCCGGGACCGGAATAAA